TTTTAGTGGCGTCTCGGCCTCTCCGGTTCGGTGAGGAGGTCATGGTGCTCGTCCGCGATCTGGGTCCGGGTTCGTGCCGCAGGCAGGCTGGGTTAGGATTGGAAGGTGATAGTGGTGATGAAGATTAAGGTGGAGGTGCTGATTGACGAGGGATATGTCTCTATAGAAGAATGATTTGGTGCAGCAACAGGTTTGGAAGGGCGTTTGATTGCGGTGGCCAGATTTGGGAAGATGCTTGATGATTGCATACATTGGCCTTGGTTGTATGTATTGGTGGGCTGAAATTTATAGATTTGGTGGGTTATGAGGTTAAGTTTTGGGTATTCTCTTGATTAGGATTGTTGTATTGTTGGGCCAAGTTGTATATGTGGGCTATTGAGGATGGTGGAATTGAAGGCAGGAATGTCAATTTTTGGGCAGCAAAAGACCAAGCACTACCGATATTTACGTGAGCATGAAATTGGCCATGAATATCACCACAAATTGTCACAGGGCTCTTTACAAGCTGGAAGGTATTTCTTTGGTTCATGAATCTTTTTATCCCTTCACCGAGAATTAAGCTCTCTCTGCAAGTAGATTTCCTTCTTTTGACTTTCAGAAAAAGCTGGATTTTAAGCTTTAAGTTATTGGTGGTGATATGTCAACCATACCTGGCCTTTCTGATGCCATTTGAGGTCTGTAATAGTAATATCCCTTTTTATTTTTGGAATTCCATTTGATTATTAAAATATATTGAGTGTGAATGGAGATTATATATGCCAAGGATGCCTTATAGTAGTGCAACCATGTGAACCTTAACTGTCATGGGTTTTGACCTATTAGCTCTTTGTTGCAAAAAACAATGGAAGAAACATTTAAGAACATTTCATATGTTGGATAAATGGTATGATGTTGGCCATTGTTGCTTTTGTATGTATCTGTAGCACTGATGTTTTTTTTTTTTTGATAAGCTGGTATATTTCCAATTCAGTTTTGCTCATATCTGCAGTACTGGAAATTATGTTCACATCAGTTTGGGTATTTATGCATTTGAGATACATTGATTTACCTGGAGATTTGGCTACTTCT